TATTTGTACTTAAGGTGTGTACCCAACCGAACTAGATTAGGTTCCAATAGGTCTTACCTTTTGTTTCACTTAGCCGAACTAAGGAACTGTACTAGCGCACTATCGAACTAGAAAGCTTTAACCAATGACCGGGCTATCACTTGGGACCAAACCAGCTCTCAGACTTAGTCAAAACCAAACCAAGAATGCCGTATGCTAAGCTTCAACCGGGCTACAAACCCCTCATTCAACTTAGTCGAGCTAGGACTCCATTTATTTCGCCTTTGTTTCTTTTAGCACGGTCCAACGATCTGTGCTTAACACTTTTCCATTTCACTTTGCAGACTCTGACTAGGTTGGCCAGGCACTCCCTTGCACGTCCAATCGAGATACCCAACATCTTCTCAGCACCGAGCTAATACTTTCGGCTAGTTTATACATAATTTAAGTCCACATGGGTAAATATAGGTTTTTAGTAAACTCTCCAAGGGCTATGGCCGAGTTCCGAAGGAACTACAACATCCCTGATGATGTTCACCTTAGTTTAGCCGAACTAGACACCACTCCCTGGGGTAAATCGGGTTTCGTTCCCTTCACCCTTCTTTCAATTGTAGAAACCAGACTCCGATTCCCTGTACAGCCTCTTCTTTGTGAATTCCTCAGACAAACTAATATATGCCCAACCTAGCTCAGTACCAATTCTTACAGAATAATAAATGGTATTGTCGAGCTAAACTGCTGGCTTGGCCTCAACCTCGGTCTAGCAGAGTTATTCCACCAATATTCATTAGGCCAAAACGAAAATGGCTGGGTATACTATTTAAGAATAAGATGTAAACGATGACGACTTTTTCTGGGTCTTTGGTAACTTCAAAGATCATGAAGCCTAAATACCAGGAGACCGAATTAACTAGAACAAAGGAGTAGCCGGTATAATTACCTTGGCTTAGCTTTGAGCTTTCTTTATTGTTTATAAGTTTGGCACCGTGCTAACTGTTTCCTTTTTTCTATACAGATTTGAACCATCTAAAGTCGCAGTATAGTTATCCCAACCTAGACGCACTCCGTGCCATGCTACGATATCACGAACGAGGTTGGCCCAGCTACTTAATTTTGAACCGACCTACAGATATAGCAGTAGGAGGAAGACCAAGGTTACAGACTTCCTTTTAGAGCCATCACCAGAACCTGATCATTCCCTTCCACAAATCAACCTCATTCCATTAACAGCGGAACAATAGATGGCCAAGAAGAGAGCTGTCAAGGCGCTCATCACCGAAACAAACCAAGCCAAGGTACCACCAACCGGCCAAACACAAGAGGTCGTGGTAGTGCTTCCAACCGCCCAGCCTTCATCATCTCGGCCCAGCAAGCGCGCTCGGACTTCCACAACTGAGCCACGCCTTGTTGACGAGGATGAAACCGTGCTTCCGCAAATCACTTCGCCCAGCCCAAAGCCCGAACGTTCCGACCGGGCTGATTCTTCTGATTGGGCCCCAAAACTTACATTTAAGAACCGAGCTATACAGAACACAGATTCGGTTGTAGCCGACAAAGATCATACACTTGCCTAATGTTTTAAAAACCGGGCCGGTGAGCGAACCGGAAAAGGGATCGGGTGGACGGGTCACTGGTTCAACCGTGATGTAATAAATATATTAAAATTATATTTAAATAAAAATATAAGTAATAAAATTATAAATTAAAAATATTAAAAGTTTTAAATTATCTTAAATATTTGTCCTAATATTTTTTTTACTGAAAAATATAATAATATATTTTGAAATATTATTAATTTCAATTTTGGAAGATGAAATCAAATATTTAATATTCCCTCCATATGATTTTAATTCAAATAATTTGATTGAAAGGAGAGCAAAAATTTTGGAGGGATATCAAAATTTCAATATTCCCTCCAATACATTTGATTGAATCCCACATGGATTTCTTGAGTTTTTTTGAAAGAGTTTTTTTCTTATAAATAGGTGAAGACTTTCACAATAATTTCATCAAACTCTTAATGGGATTCCTCACAAGAGGAGACCCTTGAAAAAGAGTTTCAAATTAAAATTTTTTAAAAGTATCACCGTGTGATAATTTTGATTATATATATATATATATATAATAAGAAAGAAAGAAAGAAAATAAAAATAAAAAATTCAAGCCAGACAGCCCGGCGAACCGGCGCCGGGTCGATTGGTTCGCCGGTTCAACCGCGGGTTTTTCCGGTTCCCGTTAAATACGCCGGTTTTCATCTTTGGTTGGTTTAGAGGGTATGTCCAGACCGGAACCCCGACCGATCGACGGTTCAACCGGTCGAACCGGCCGGTCCGGTCCGATTTTCAAAACCATGCACTTGCCTTTAACCTGGCGAGGAGTGTATGTTTGCCCCCTGACATGGAACATCATGACCAGTTGACCGAGCTAAAGGCCATCCGATCGGCGATGTAGTCAATGGTGCTGGTAAGTACTCCTTCTAATCGTTTTTCATTTTATATCTTCTGTTTGCTCGATTTTTACT